CAGAATAACCAGGTATACACGTGTATCTGCATACAGAAAGAACGAAGACTTCAAGACATCAGGATCATGTCAGATATCCACCCCAGGAATGTAAATCGTTTCCTTGCTCATCCACCTCCAGCCAGCCACTACTATCAACAGTCGACTGACCGCAACCTCGTCCTCACCGTCTTTTCCATGGCATTGTCAATAGTGAAATCTACTGCGTTCGATAAACCGCGAGACCGAGTGTCTTTCTGGTTGTACTCGATCTCACACAATTTGTGCACAGTGCACAGTGCACCGTACGCTGACGCTGCACAAGTTCTTATGCCTTTATGCAAAGCGATGTAGTCAACCTTATTTTGATGCCGCGTTGATGTCGAGTACTGTAGGATGTAGAGTATACAGCAGATGTACCTGTTGAGTTGTGATCTTAGATGTGAACAGATCAAGGAGGGCGTGCATTTCTTATAGTGCAGAGTACTGTACATCAGATAAAGACAGGGATGGACTTGATCAACTTGTACACTGCATAGATGCGAATGGACGTATATGTGAGTTTATTCGGACTTCAAATTTGTAAATATATTTTGGAACTGACATCTGAGCAGTGGATGTATATCTGATCATATAAGCCATGAAGCGCGAGCCATTCAGACAGAGAGATATATATATATATGTCAAATGTAAAGTGTTGTTACGGACAGTCAGGATCTGATGTCACTTGGGTATATATCAATAAACAGATAACGAGCATCTAACGACATGCTCAACTAGGCATCCACCGGCTTCTGCCTCTCCCGAAGCACCCTCTTCCTCTGCAGCTGTTTAGCATACTTAACACCAAAGCCATGTCTATACACCTCCCGCACCGACTCCAGCGGCATATTATGCACCTCCGCATAACAGAAGATGACAAACACCCATCCGACAAAGCAAATCCCAGCATAGAACCCAAACGCCCCGCTCGGCGTCATGGCCTTCATCATTGACAGAAACGTCGACGAGATGATAATGTTGCATCCCCAGCAGGTCACCGTGTTCATCATCGTGCCGAGCGCGCGCACTTCCAGCGGGAGGAACTCTGTGCCAACCCATGCGATTGGGGCAACGCCGGCGGCGAAGAAGGCTACGTAGATGATGATGGTCACGAGGAGGAGGATGCTGGCCCAGCTCATTTGTTGCGTTTGGATGACGGTGAGGTCGTGGTTGACGGGGATCCAGTGGAAGGCGATGGCGGCAACTACTAGAGAGAGGGACTGTGCGAGCGTTAGCCTCAAGATTATCATCTTGGCCGTGGGAGGACTTACCATTCCGAGAACGGTGATCAAGAGGACCACGCGTCTGCCAAAACGGTCGATGGACGCAAAATTGGCGAAGCCAAACAGAAAGTTCGTCGCGCCGACCACCATCGACACGGCGGTGGGTTTGTTGAAGCCCACCATGGAGAAGAGCGTGGCGGAATAGTACATGAGCGTGTTGAACCCGCCCAGCTGGGATATAGCCATGACCATGCAGGCCGTAACGAGAGCGCGCACGTTCTCGCGCACCGTGAAGAGCTGTTTCATCTGCCACCACAGGCTCCTCTCCAAGACAGACACCGCCGCTTCTTCGATGGAATGCTGGATCAACCGGGCTTTTGCATCGACTTGCTGATCGGTGGCTTGCGGGAAGATCCTTTTCAACACTTGCCGTGCCTCTTCGCCACGGCTATGCGAAATCAATTGGCGAGGAGTCTCGGGACACCATGGCATTGCGGCGCCCAGCATCAGGGCTGGAATCGCCCCAATACCGACCATGTACCTCCAGCCATGGGCTACATCCGTAAACGCAGCTCCGAGTGCGTACGACACAAACTGGCCAAATGCCACACAGAGATTGTCAAAGACGATCAACCGGCCGCGGAATCGAGCAGGTGCCATCTCGCCGATATACAGCGGGATGATCATGGCGGCGTTGCCGACACCAAACCCGACGATCAGCCGTCCAACCGTCATCTGGGCGATGGAGTACGCAGCGGCTTGGACTACGGTGCCCACGACGAAGAGCGCACAGCCCACATAGATGCCGAGCTTGCGTCCGTACTTGTCAGAGGTCAGACCGGCTAACACTGCGCCTATCAGCGCGCCTCCGGACGTGATGGAAGTGATCAGTTCTTGCTCGCTAGAGGAGAGCTTTTTGCCTAGGTCTGTTCCCAAGCTGACCAGTACTGCCGAGATGACGCCAGTATCGTACCCTACGTGCATTAATTATTGATCCATGGCGTATTCGGGTGGATACTAACCGAACAGGAATCCTCCCATGGACACAGTACAGGCGATTAACCAGACAGTCATTCCCGGGTCGGTCATCTCAATTGAGTCGTCTAGATTATCGTCGCCTAGATGTTCTTGATGGACGGCTTCCGCTTTGCCATCCAGTGACAGCTTCGTTGAGTCGGCGTCAGAATCCATGGCACCAATTGATCTTATCTATGTCTCTTTACTGGTACTGGTATAGAGCTGGATGATATTGAGGAGTCAATACAACTCCGTGTTGCTGCACAGTGAGATCAAGCATTTTATATCAGATGCATACAACCCCTCACACCAAACCTTGTCAACAACCTAGCACACTTGAGAATGAACAGATGCATGATGCCAAACGACTCTACGCAACATGATACACGGGGGCCCCAGGATTCCCCGCACTGATTCCCCAGACGCCATACTTCAGTGCATTCGTCAGCGGATATCGGCTATCGACATCAGATACCGGAGTGGCTTGCGGGATTGAGTTCTTTTCATGGAAGCAAAAGCCGATCCTAGCTTGTTACTGCTAGCAGTGGCAACTCTTTCGCAGGGTAAATGGACCCTATTCTGATCGACCGCGTGGGGAGTTGCTTGTTGCTTATTCCTTGGTTGCGCCAAAGTATATCGTGGTGGCAGTCCGAAGAGGAAATATTCCCCGTAAATGCATGTACAGCAACTGAGGAACTGAGGAAGAGAACGATCTCATGTTGATGACATGGCAACGTTTGGGCTTGCATGTCACAGTTCACAGCCCACCATCTTTGGTTCCGAATCGAAGGCCTTCTGCTGTCTTCTAAGGTATAAGAGCTTCTGGCTCTCTACTGCCATGTCCTGAATCGAACTTCCAACAACTAGACTCTATACTTCTTGAGCACAGTCACAATGTGGTCGCTTTTCACAATTGCCCCGTATGCATGCATACTGGGCCTCCTCCTCTTTGTCTATTTCATTGCCTATCCATTTGCGGAGTACATCCGGGATCCTAAAGGTGAGTAAACCTGTGGTGGTCTTATTCTTGGGACAAGGCTGAATAGTTAGGCCTCCGGAGATATCCCAACTTCCACCCCTTCTCAGGCATGTCTGCCATTCCTTTCATGGTGCTCGCATCTCGAGGCTTCCGTTCCATGGAGCTCATGAAACTACACCGGAAACATCCCGTCCTCCGCACCGGACCGAACTCGCTGTCGTACGGCGACGTCCGCGCCATCAAGGACATCTACGGGCATAACACCAAGTGTATCAAGGATCCGTCGTACATTGTCACGGCAGGTACACACTACCATCTCGCCGACGTGGTCGATAAGCCCGACCACGCGCGCAAGCGCAAAGTGCTTTCCTCGGCGTATGCCCTCAAGAATCTGGAGACGTGGGAGTACAAAGTCAGCGACAAGCTCGAGCGGCTGATCGCACACTTTGACCGGGTCTGCACGAAGCCTCCCTCGCCAGCTGTGGCGGAGGGCAAGGCGGCGCCCGATCCGGCGGATCTGACGGTCGACTTTCGCGCCTGGACCAACTACTTTACTCTCGACGCCATCGCCGACATTGGTCTCTCAGAGAAGCTGGGCTTCCTGGACAGCGGCAGCGACGTGTGCACGGCCGAGAGGAAAGACGGGACGACGTATGAGGTCCACCTCCGCGAGGCGCTGTATCCGACCGCGCGCAAGCAGTCGCTGATTCTGTGGAACTACGAATGGTACCCCGTGCTCAACAAGCTAGTAAACATCATCCCGTTCTTCGGGCGGATGCAACGCTCGTCAGACAACTGGGACAACATCGTGTGGCGGCGCGCATCCCAACGCCTCCGCCGCTACGAGGCCGGCGAGAAACTGGACGATTTCTTCCAGGCGCTCATGGAGGACAAGAACGGACACCCGAACAACCTGGAATGGGGCGAGATCGTCGCCGAGGTCAACATCATGATGAACGCCGGCAGCGTAACGACCGCCATCGCCATCGCCAACGTCATGTACCAGCTGCTCAAGAACCCGTGCTGTCTGGTCAAGCTCCGCGAAGAAGTCGACGCTGTCCTGGACGATGACGAAATCATCGCCCCCTACGACAAAGTCAAGCACCTCCCCTACCTCCGCGCCTGCCTCGACGAATCCCTCCGCATCTTCCCGCCCACCTCGCACGGCCTCCCGCGCCAGACCCCGCCCGAAGGCATGGAGATCCTGGGCCAGTGGGTGCCAGGCAACACCTCGGTGAGCATCTCGGCGCTGGTCGCCCACCGCGATGAGTCGGTCTTCCCGCAGGCGGACCGGTACATCCCCGAGCGGTGGCTGGGCGAAGAAGGCAAGGCGCTGCAGCCGTACTTTGTGGCCTTCTCTGCGGGCGCTCGGTCCTGCATCGGGCGGAATATCTCTTACCTGGAGCAGACCAAGGCAATTGCCTCGTTGGTGCATCGGTATGAGTTTGCCCTGCCTCATCCTGGGTGGGAGTTGAAGCGGTTGGAGACGATGAATTTGATTTTGGGAGATATGCCTGTGAAGGTGTGGAGGAGGCAACGGGACATGATATAGCATGAATCCATAATCCATTGCAATACATCCTCCATAGCATGACCTTCATAGGTGGCTTCGTAGATACTGTGCATGCAGAAATAGAATCGTTCATAGTCCCTGCACTAGTCCGAAAAGGGATAATTGATAATTCCCACACATTCCTTCCTCAGTCGACTCTCAATCAACCATCCTCATCCACTTCCTTCATCAAATTACCTTCAGAAAAATGGGCTACCATCCAATCGAACTTCGCATCCAAGTCCTCGGCCTCTCTGCCTTCGGCGTCGACTCGAAAGCCATAGCAGCAGGGCTGGACATCCCCGTCCGCAGCGTCCAGAGGATCATCCACCGCGCCAAAGAGCGGGGATTCGATCCCGCAACGAACCCGCGCGTCAAGATGGAGTACGTAGCAGATGCGGAGAGATCTGGACGGCCGAAAAAGGGGAGTAAGGTAATGGCAGCGGAGTCGCAGGCTGGTTCTACATCTGGATCTGGGTCTGCTGTTGAGGCCGAGTCGGAAGCTGGGGACGGGAAGTCGATGCCTGAGGCTCAGGCCTGAGACAAGAAGGGGAGTTTTCCCCGCGGGGAATGTTTCCGTTTGGGGATTGGGGATTGACTGTGTCCAGACAGTACAGAACTTCTGCTTCTGATGCTGTCAACCTTACGCGACATCTTCTCACTGTCGGGGATGCAGACGCGGATTCCTGCCCTGTTGGTTTATTGTCTGTGCCACGATGCAACGCCGGTCAAAGACCGATATTGGGTGTTGGCTCGAGAGATAAGATTGTGAGGGAAAGTTACCCCATGCTGTCGCAATGGCTATGTCTTCATGCTGGTGTCCATATATCTGGGCTTCCTCCTGACTGTCTTCCAGTAATGACAATTGACAAGTGACTGTCTACGTTCATTATGTCGCTTTTCTCTCAGTGGAGCTCTCACCCCGAGATTCTTCGGGATCTCTTCAAAGTAACCAGCCCTGCAAGTGTCGCCGACTGTGCTGCTTTGACTGTCGTCAGCATCATAGCGTGTACCTATGTCTCCCGAGGCATGCTCTGGGACCGGCCCGATCCTTATCTCCATCTTGTGTACGAACGGCCGCAATTGAAGAATGGCGGCGCGGCTGGCTCCAATGCCAATAAGCAGATCCGCAACATTGCTCAGAAAATGGACGAAACGGGCAAGAATGTCGTGGTCTTTTGGGGCTCCCAGTCCGGCACTGCCGAAGGTTTTGCGCACCGGCTGGCCCGCGAGGTCTCGCTGCGGTTCGGTCAGGAGGCCATGACAGCTGACTTGTCCGATTATGATCCGGACTCTGTCAGTATGATTCCAGACTCCAAACTGGCGATCTTCATTCTCTCGACCTACGGTGAGGGTGATCCTAGCGACAACACCGCCGAGTTCTGGGATTGTATTCACAAGACCCAGAACGTCTCCCTGTCCAACCTCCGCTACGCTGCTTTCGGCTTGGGCAACAGCAACTACAAGTTCTACAATCGCGTCGTTGACGTCGTCGTGGAAGCTCTGGATCGGTTTGGGGCTAAGTCGTTGATGCCCGTCGGCAAGGCGAACGATGCTGAAGGCACAACACAAGAGGATTTCATGAGTTGGAAGGAGGATCTGTTTGCCACGTTCAAACAGCAGCTGGGTTTTCAGGAAGCCGAGGTCAAGTATATGCCGACACTGTCCGTCCAGGAAGACGAGTCGCTTGAGCCCATCGACCTTCACCATGGAGAACCGGACATCCGCCGCGACTCGTTCAGATCCGCTGCTCAATGCTCTCCCGTACGGGCAGTCGACATCAGCAGCTCAAGGGAACTCTTCGCTTCCTCCGATAGCCACTGTCTTCACATCGAACTAGATCTCAGCAGTCAACCCGAGTTCACATACAAAACCGGTGATCATCTGGCCGTCTGGCCGGGCAATCCAGATGCCGAAGTGGACATCCTCGTCAACGCCCTGGGGCTTCCTCCGTCTCGCCACGAAGTACCCATCAGCATCACATCGCTCGACCCAGCAACTAAAGTGAGAGTCCCCACTCCCACGACCCCCATTGCCCTCTTCCGCTACTATCTGGAGATCTGTGCCCCTGTCAACCGCGACACTCTCCTCGGACTCGCCCAGTTCTCCCCCACGCCAGCAGCCAAGGACTTCCTTCTCCAGCTCGGGCAGGACAAGACCGCCTACGCCAGCTTCCTCAACCACACCCACCTCACCCTTGGTCGGCTTCTGCAGCTCGCCTGCCCCGATACCCCGTGGACAACCCTCCCACTCTCCTATCTCATCGAGACGCTCACCCCAATCCAACCCCGCTACTACTCCATCTCCTCCAGCAGTGTCCTCGCCCCACGCAAACCATCCATCACCGTCCTCGTCTCCTGCGCCCCGCTCCCAGCGAACCCAACCCAATCCATTTACGGCCTAACATCCAACTACCTCCTCGCCCTCTCCGCATCCCTCGCCTCGTCCGCCCACCCCACCGGCCTCACCTACCCGCTCGCCGGTCCCAACGCCAGCCTGACTGGCGGCAAAATCCACGCCCACCTCCGCCGCAGCCGCTTCAAACTCCCGCTCATGAGTAAATGCCCGCTTGTCATGGTCGCAGCCGGCACGGGGCTGGCCCCCTTCCGCGCCTTCATCGCCGAGCGCCGCCAGCTGAGCCTCATCGGCAAAGAAACCGGCGAGATGATCCTTTTTTTCGGGTGCCGGGCCCCGACGCAGGATTTCATCTACAAGGAGGAACTGGAGGAGATGCAGGCAGCTCTTGGCGATAAGCTCCGCGTCATCACTGCGTTCTCGCGGGAAGTCCGCAGCCAGAAAGTCTACGTTCAGGATCGGATCGCGGAGCATGCCGCCGAGGTGATCCGGCTGATCGACGAGGGCGCGAACGTGTACATCTGCGGCCGGGCGGGGATGGCCCGCGAGGTGGAAAAGACAGTTGGGGAGGCGATGCGAGCGGCCAGGAGGTGGAGCGAGACCGAACTAAACGAGTGGAGTAAGGCAATCAAGAGGAAGAATAAGTGGCAGGAGGATGTATGGGGATAGTTTTTCTGTCATAGTTGCGTGCCGTCTAGAAAATTTTTGTCCTATTGATATTTTACAAAGAACTTTTATTTCTACCCTAGCCAGCCAGCTTGTAATCATATCGTCCATAATCGTTTATTTACTAGCACGTAAGTGATTACCGCTTCTCAGCCATCCGTTTCCCCGCCTGGGAGAAAATCTGCTGCCAGATCCCGACCCATTGCTGCTGTTTATACGACAGCACCTTCTGCGGGTCGCGGACCGTGCCCGCCAGGATCTCCCGGATCCGCGCACTGAGGATCTTCAGCGCGAGCATGGCCTTCCAGTCGCGGACCGCGAAGCGGATGCGGTTTGCGTCGATGGAGACAATCCCAGAGTACATCTGCATTCAATCAGAATTTCGTATCTCTTTGCAAGCTGTAGAAAGGTGGCAGTGGGTACGTACCTTGAACTCGGCCTCTCCGCACAGCAGCGCAATGGCAAAGTCGTCGACGGCGTTTGTCTCAAAGGCGTTGTAGTTCCTGTTGCGGGCCTGCATGATGTGGTAGTAGGAGAGCCATTTCAGGGAGGCGTCGGCGTGCTTGTTGACGGAGGTTGGGTGCAGAGTGACGGATTGGTTGTTGGCGACGTTGCGCCAGCCTTTGCCTTCGCGGGTGAGTAGTTTCGGGTAGAAGCTCCAGGCGATGACCGAGTTGACGACGACGTCGTTGCTGCTGTTTGTGTCGTAGTCCTCGGGGATGGTGAAGAATTGCCGTTGGCGGCCGCCGGATCGGGCTCTGCGTTGTGTGAGTTTAAGATAAATATAGGGTAGGTGTGTGAATACCTGTTCAGCATAGTCTTTTGGGTCGGATCCAGAGTGAGAAGCCCTGCATCTGCAAGGGAGACTATGAGCTGCATCTTGATGTCTTCGATGTTCAAAAGCGTCTGCGAACTGAGAAAGTTCTTCCGGCAAAAGGCATACTCGTTGGCCCCCGGCGTACTTCTCGTGCGCCTCCAGGCGCAGTACGCATTGTACACAGTCAGGAGGTCGGAATCGCCTGACCTATATTAGCATAGACCTCGCTTTATCAAGAATTTACCTACCCTTCTTGAATGATAGCCTCGCAAGATCTTTCTGGTTGTTGGATCCCATAGTATTGACAAACGGCGATTTGGATGAGAGAATGGCGGCAATGCTAATGCAAGCGTCTAGGCACTTGAAGAACACGCCGTGGATGATCAACTTTCCGAGGAAGACATCCAGGGGCAATTTGGCAAGTTGCATGCCCAGAGGTGTCAAGCTCTCCGAGTTGGTGAGAGCTTTGACTTCTTTCAGCGAGTCAATCGCACGGCGTATGTTCTTGGACGATGGTGGATCCAATCCTTCGAGGAGAGTCTGCTCCACTTCGCCGAGTTTACAGATCTTGACACGCAGTACAAGATCTTGCAAGGATAGCCGAAGCATCTCCGGCGTCTGCTGCTCTGCGAGCTGTGTGATTGTTAGTATCAAAGGAATAATGACAGGAATTTGGACATACCAGTTTATCATGTCGATGCTTGGTGAACAAGTGGAAACAGATACCGCTCTGCACTCGTCCAGCTCTTCCTCGGCGTTGCTTTGCATTGGCACGCGAGATAAAGGCCTCCACGAGCCTTGAAAGTTGTCGTCTTTCGTCAAACCTAAAATGTGTCAGCAGGGTCTTGCATGAAACCACTGCATGATACCCACCGCATCGTCTTTTCCTTGCCAGCGTCGATGACTGCTGTGATATCCGGGATGGTGATACCTGAGAAGTCAGCATCTGATTATCGTGGCAGCCTTGCAAACATACCTGTTTCTGCAATGTTTGTGGCAATGACAATTTTTCTCATGCCCTCGGGAGGCACAACAAACGCCTTTTCCTGGTCTTCGCTGGCAATGGAAGAGTGAAGTGCATGTACGATCCAGCCTGTCTGGAAAATTGGATCTGAGAGAATCTCATCATTCAGACGACGAATTTCCGCCATGCCAGGCATGAACACCAGGATGGCTCTACTGTAGGGTGCCATCTCCGGTGCCGACGCGAGTTTCACTAGCAAATTTTTGATGAGCTGGTAGTCGAGGCGGTACTCGTCGAAACTGAGTACTGTTTCGCGAGTTTGCTTGGAATATCCTTCAAGACTGGCTAGCAGGCCGCCAGCGGTATCGCCTTCCCCGTTGTCCGACGGCGTATCGTCCACATCTTCATCAATCACAGTGTTCGCCTCGTTTTCCAGTAGGCGGTAGTTGGTCAGCTCGATCGCATCCTCCAAGAACTTCATCTCGACAGGGAAGGTCCGTCCAGGTATATTCAGCACAGGAACGCCACCGAGGTATGAAGAGAAACGTTGAGCCTCGAGAGTAGCGGACATCAGTATCAACTTCAAGTCTGGCCGTTTCTGCATTAGTCGCCGAAGCACAATCAGAAGAAAATCGCTGTCAATGGACCGTTCATGAACCTCGTCAAGAACAACATGAGTAATGTCCTGGAAGTCGTCGGGACGCTCCAACATCCGTACTACCACTCCGGTTGTACTGCATCAGATCAGTATGACTTCTGAAACTCAGGGCATGATACATACGCAAATACCAGTCTCGTGGATTGGCTAACTTTGCTTTCCAGCCTAACAGCAAAACCAATCAGAGACCGGGCCGTCCCAACGTCTGCCTTACTCTCCCCAAGCTCCTCACTGACTCTGCGCGCCAGGGATATAGCAGAGATCCTCCTAGGCTCCGTCACATAGATCTTGCAAGGACGACCTTGTTTCAATTCATGCTCAAGGATGAACGAAGGTATCTGCGTGCTTTTTCCACTTCCTGTCTCACTGCAGATAATAAGGGCACGATGCGTGTCGAGCGTGTTGAGAATTTCGTCCTTGAACTCCCAGATCGGCAGGTTCATCCGTCCCTGAACCATGTGTTGGAAGGATGGTGTGGAGGATTTCTCCGCCCATATTCTCTTCAGCTGTTCATCAGACACCTGGACTCTGGAGCCGACCCTCCCGGACGACTCTGCTTTGCCAGCTGCGCCATTCCTCCGCCGGAAATTATCCGACAATACAACATCGTCTTCAAAGGTACCTTGGTTCTCTTGAATCAGCGTCCTAAGGCCCTTGACAACCTTTTTGTCACCTTCCTCCTCCTGAAGCTTTTTGACGTCTGCCAACTCAGTCCACAGATCCCGCCAGACGGCCGGCAGTCGCAGATAGGCTTTTCCTTCTTTCGAGTTTTGCGGGAATAGAATGAAAAGAGCTATCGTAGACACGAAAGCCTCTGCCTGTTGAGAGGTGGATGTAGCTACGGACTCCATTGATACAAATGTCGTGTAAGAGTTCGATTTATGTGTGACCATATCCACTTCCAAGGGAAAAGGCACGTCTTGAGGTTTCGACCACCTGACTTCAACGGCCTTTCGATTCGTATGTGATGAGGGTGAGAAGTCTTTATAAGTAATCGTACATCCGGTATCCCTAAAGCGCCATGAGTTTTTTGGTCTACCACAAAAGGAGCGCCTACAGGTTCATACCTGGACTTGCACGTCTCTTCCAGGACCCGTCGAGGACTAAGCCCGGTCCATTTACCGAAGTCACGCATCGTGACGGAGGCTTTCTTGAGCTCTTCTGTAATAATACCAGTCTCCAAGATTGGCTCCTCAGTGTCGAACATATCTCCAAGAAGATCTGCTGTATCTCCGTTGTCGTCCATGAACCCGGCGCCATTCTCAGCCTCAGTCTCATCCGGCTTCCTGACCTCGGGTTCCACAGGCGCACCATTTCCTTCGTCGCGAGCAACACGTCTGGAAAATGCTGCTTCCCTCCTCAGGTCATCAAGCTTCTCCCTCCACCGGTACTCGGCCTCATCGCGGTCAAACAACACGTCATTCTCAATGCTTGCAAGTTTACGCTGGAGTCTCGCAACTTGGGGATCCTCTGTGGTGACATTTGCCTGCTCATGACCAGATTTTTTGCCCTTCTTTGGCTGATCGAACAATTCTGGTCGCAGGTCGTACAGCTTCGTCTGCAATTCCAGGAATTTTGGAAGCAACGTGTCAGGGTCCAGAGAGCTATCAGAGTCGTAGGGACTTAAGGCGACAGGAGTGATCATCTTTACATTCCTCGTCTTCTTCGGCTTGTTGTCAACATTCGTTGCCTTTGACGGCGAGGATTCCGTCGGCTGACTCTCTATTGGGCGTTAGCCTCTTACACTCCGTAGATGGTCACAGCTTAAATTTACCAGAGATAAAAGAAATGAGTCGTTCCGACTCATTGCGTGTTTGAGCGCTCGACTGTGTATAAGATGGTAGTTCCGCGGGAAGGCAGTGCATGGCAAGCCAGTCCAAAGACTCATCCAGGTTCGGGACCACGTCTCTATTAGAACTTGTAGATGTACCGGGCAAGTAAAGCAGCACATGTTTCAACGCCTCCTCAACTTTCACTTCGGGGAACCCAAGTTTCATGAGCGTCTCCCGCAATGTCCAAAGTCTCATGTACAACTCTTCCTCAGAGCTCGACTTCTTCAAGCTAGACGGAGGGCTGATTTCGCGTTCTTCCGCTTCGGCAAGGCTGAGAATTAATTCCTGCACTTCTTTAGGAAGCCACTCCAAGAGATTCAGAGATACAGCCTGTTGCCGCAAGACCCTCCGCTCGGTTTCGAGCTTTGTGACTTGGCGGGCGGCATCGTTCTTGCATTTGGCAGCAAGCTTTTCAACCAGCAGCTGCAACTCTGCGTTCTCCAAATGTTTCTCAAGTTCCTCCGGCGAGTAGTTCTGTAGGGAGGAAGGCTCTCGCTTCTCCGAAGGTGGCTGGCTCGGTTCTGCCGGTGTTGGCCGGTCACTCTCAGTGACTGATCGGGAATCAACGGTCGATGCAGGGGTCGTTGAGTCCACCGACTTTGGTTTCGAGGGTACAGAAACAGTCGCGAAGCCCCTAGCGGGATTAGAGGCAGGTTTCTTCTTTCGTTTGTTGTTGGAGGGCATGACTCTCAAGACCAAGGTCCGCCTCGCTCAGAGGGGTCCTAAGAAAGCGCAGCTAAGACCGATTCAACCCCACGAGCCGCACGAAAATTGGCGTTGAGATATCGACGGAGGTTCTTGGGCCCGTAGGGTTTTTGGAGTGTGAATGCGAGCGTTGAATGATGAAAAAGTCTCCATGGGCGCGAGAGAGGGCCGATGATGTCGGCTGCGGTTGACGGAGCTCCTCCCCCACAACGTCGAAAACTCTTATGACAGCATTGCGGGAAGGCTTCTAGCGAACGCCGACATGCTCCAGTCCACCTAACATGGACGACTTTCCATGGGAACAGGTGAAATCAGGAGACCTGGAGAGCCTGCGAGACGCTCTCTTTTCGAGCTCGACTACTCGCAGAACTCATGCTCTCCAGGAGCTCCGCGATAGAGTTGGTAAGTTGGTTGTCGCTCACCCCTCGGGAGTCAGCCCTTCAGCATGGACATTGCTCACGCGCTCTGTTCTCTTTCGACTTATTAGGCTCTGAATTACCCCAAGAAATCCGTCAGTCTCTTATAGGACTCCTTTTTACGACCTATCCGCTCTACGTCGATCGACCCTCTCGACAAGCTGTCCAGCAATGTCTGCGTACGATCCTCAAGGCGCCCGTTCCGACCGAAGATCTGAAATACCTTACCCAGAATCTGCTCGCAGAGGCTTCTAAACCCGGATTGGCTCCTTCTTCCGCGTTTGTCCTGCTGGAATGGTGCTCCCTTCTGCTGCAGATATTGAAAAATGACCCGGACACCCCTCTCTCGATCGTCCTGGACATTGTCGCTGTGGATGCAAAGGCTCTCGAAACCTGCCTTGCTGCTCGTCCCAGACCAACGGTGAAACAGTCTGCCCTTACTGTTACGAGACGTGCTCTACGCGCCGTTTTCTCGTCAGACAATTGGGGCGAGGATGCTGTCCGCCAGTCAGTCGCTCGGCTGACTGGTGACTCGGCGGGGCAGAAGAATGCGCCCTTCCTCGGTGTCGTCTCTGGTGTATGCGCCCACTTACCGAACAGGAAGGCCGTCCTGGAGAATGAAAAGAAATTGATCCTCGCATACTATGTCAAAGAATTGATCGGCTCAAAAGCTGCAGTGCCAAACCACATCGCAAGTGGCTTATCTGACTTCTTCGCCTCTTTTATTACCTATGAGGATTTCACGTCGGAGCTAGTACCTCCTCTTGAGAAATCGCTCTTGCGTGCTCCAGAGGTGGTATTGGGTGGATTGGTGCCTTCACTATGCTCTTCTCTACCAGAGGACTTTGACCTGTCCGAGATTCTGTTCTCTCGGCTCCTGAAGCACCTTCTCTCCAGCATGAAATCAAACAATGCGACTATTAGGCAAGGTGCTGTGCAGTCTCTTGAGTACATCCTCTCAAAGTCTAAAAATGAGGATTGGCTTGTCAAGATCGCTGGTGAGATCATCGGGCCCCTAAAGACCCAGAAGATCACTAGCCCAGAACATCGTGCTGTGTATGCTCAAGCGGTCTGTGCTATCCTGCCTAGTGGGAGTGTCTCCAAAGACATAGTGCAAGGGTTTGCTCCTGTCTTCTCGCGGGAATCTAACGAAGTAGCATTGGAACAAGAAATCAAGGCCCTCTGCAAGCACCTCACTTTCCTCCTTCAAACCAAGGTGAAAGTTAGTGACGATGTCATCAATGCCGTCGTCAAAGGAATTGCAGATAAGCGTATCCCGTTCAGGAAGCTTTGGCAACTGATTGTTGGAGACGTCTTCTGGCGTATTGAAGCACCAACACTGGCTACCTCCGAGGTTGGACCATTTGTCACCAAGTTCCTCGACAAGATGAAGGATTTGTTCAAGGAGGTAACTTCAAATCCTCTACCTTCAGCTCAGAATGGCTCTTTATCCGCAGCATTTGTATACCTTGCCCTCTACGAAAGGGTATCTACAGCCCAGGGATTAGATAAGGCGGACTGGGAAACCACTGTGGCACAGTCGATGCTCCTCACCCCAAAGCCTTCTTTTCTTCTGAACCCTAAGGCTTATACCAAATTGACGTCTCCAGCAGAGATCCAGTGGATGGTTCGCGCCCTTGTGGCTGTCTCGTCTGGATCCAAGTTCGAGAGCACCGAAGATGCAGCCAAGGTTGCATGGGCTCAGGCATTCATTTACGCTGTCACGGCTCCCGGACTTCGCACAAACTTGCGTGAGGAAGCTGCTCACGCTCTTATGGGGATTTATCTGCGCAGGTCGGAACTGATGGGTCGCGTGGTCACTGAAGCTCTGTGGACGTGGATTCTCGCCTTGAGAACGGCGGAGAAAGATTCTGCTGCATCGTCTGCAGGACCGGCGAGTGAGAAGCTCCTTCACCTCGTAGCGAAGGCCATCTGTCCTTCTGCCGCCGATATACAGTCCGATAAGATTCGATCTGATCTGAAGCGTCAACTCGTTCAGCTTCTTGTACTTTGCAGGCCAGAACTGATTCCCAATATTTCATGGATCGCACTGTGCTTAAGGACTGGTACAGATCCTGGTGATCTTGTCCGTGAATATCCGGATGATTTTATGAAGCAATTGACGCAGGTGCATGAGGTTGGTCTTCAGTTGTCATCCAGTGTAGAAAACAACATGCTAATTTGGCGCAGGACCCCATCCAATCGAAAGTCCCTGCGATTGATGTAGCTATCTGGAATGCTGCAGGGGACCTGGCATTTGTCGCACCAGACACTATGGTCCCTCGCCTGATTCGGCAGATCAGAGACGATTTGGATGCATCGCGTCTTTCTAGGTTCACACCAACCGATGCAGCCATTGCCCGCACTCCAGAGGGGACCATGTTCGTTGATGTCCTCAACACCAAGTCGATGCAGCCAGCATTCGACAAGAACACCAAAGACTACGACACCCTCAAATGGGAAGAAGAGCTGCGGGCGCAATTAGCTCAGAAGAAAGGTCAAACGCAGAAGAAGCTTAGCGCGGATGAACAAGCGAAGGTCAAAGCTCAACTTGCCAAGGAATCTAAGATCCGTGAGGAGGTCCTACAGGAAGTGAAGAGAGTCGAAAGAGGCGCCGGCATTATTCAGGGGCTTGCGAGCGGGCCCGCCGTTGATGCTGATGGATGGATCAACCCGGCTGTAAGCTCATTGCTGTCTCTGGCCCGAGCTGGCGTGGGCTTGTTCGCGGGTGACGTCGTTTCCAAAGCGTACGTGAAATGCGCTGAGAAAGTCTCCTCGCGCCTAGGTCCTCTTCGCCCCTTCGTTGGTGTTGCGACACTACGAGCAATTGGCAGGTCCCATCTGCCGCCTGAGATGGAAGCCGAGCCACTCGGTGGTGAGTTTTCACATATCATTAGCAGTTCAGGCATCTATTGACCATGTTACAGGGCTTGTTACAAGAATTCTTTATCGCCTTCGTTTTGCGTCTGAGCAGCGCCCATTCGACATGACATCCTTGGCATATATACTTCCCTTGATATTCATGGTTCTGAGCCGCAATGGCATCGAAGAAGTCAAAGGGGAAGAAGAAGGAGAGCAGTTGCTTCTGGCGCTGGAGTTCCTGTCATTCCATTCCGGTTCATGTGAGTTCTGCCATCTCTCAAGGAGCATGACTAGGACTGAGAATCGCTAACACTTTATGCACAGTCACTGACAACCGTCTTCCACGCGTTGAGGTTCTGAATCATCTGCTTACTGCCATGCAGAAGTTTACCCAGCACTACAAGCTGATCAAGGATACTCTCTTCGATTTCTGTAGATGCATTTCGTCCAACATCACCAATGAGGAGCTTAATGTCCTTCTACAAGGCACCATCATTCCAGATACATCCGTCCGAACCTCGGTGCTCCAGGTTATTGAGTCTGAAATTGATCTGACTGACCTGGACTTCTCTGAGCACATCTGGTTGGGCTGTCACGATCAGGTGGAGGAGAACGCGGAAATTGCTGAAAATATCTGGGAGGAAAATGCCCTCGAGGTCGACGAGACTTCCTACGGGAAAATAATCCCATACCTCTCTTCCAAGGACTCCCAACTCCGAGGCGCTGCTGCCCGCGCGTTGGGCCATGCAGTGGAGCTCAATCCGTCGGTTTTCGGGGACATTGTCCAGCAATTGCAGTCAATGTACGAGGAGGAAGTGAAGCCCAAAGAGCCTGCGAAGGACAAGTACGGAATGCCGCTCAAGGTGGATACGACCGACCACTGGGAATGCCGCAGTGGCATTGCCCTCGCTTTTGGTGCGATGACAAATAGTTTCGAAGGCGATCAGATTGTTTCGTTCCTTCGCTTTCTGATTGAAAGAGGACCCTTGATTGACAGAAACTCTATGGTGAGATCCCAAATGGCTGACAGCGGCAGATCCGTCGTCGCGTCGCGCGGCCAGCAGCGGGTTGAGGAGTTGATGGAAATACTGGAAACCACTCTGGAAACTTCAGACAAAGGAAGCGAGACATCCGATCTTCTCAATGAAGCAGTGGTTGTTCTCTACGGTTCTCTGGCTCAGCATCTCAAGTCGGACGATCCGCGGTTGCAAACAGTAATCAAGCGACTTCTGGCGACACTCCCGACTCCGTCGGAAACTGTACAATCGGCCGTCTCGGGATGCCTTCCACCACTCATTCGTCTCTGCGGGCCAAAGAGCGGAGAGTATGTACAAGAGATGCTGGATCAACTGTTGCAGACCAAGAACTATGCTACCCAGCGTGGAGCGGCTTACGGTCTGGCTGGTATCGTTCGTGGAAGGGGCATCTTCACTCTGCGGGAGTACCAGGTCATGTCTCACCTGAAGGACGCAACTGAGAATAAGAAAGAGGCACATCAGCGACTGGGTGCTCTGTTAGCGTTTGAACTCTTCGCCACCATCCTCGGGCGCACATTTGAACCATATGTCATTCAGATCGTGCCGCAGCTCCTTGCCGGTTTCGGTGACCCTAGCATCGACGTCCGCGATGCTTGCCTCGACGCAGCAAAGGCTTGCTTCTCTAATCTCAGCTCCTACGGTGTGAAGAAGATTCTCCCTACTC